GTTTATCTTTTCAAAGAACCAGCTCCTGGATTCATTGATCCTTAGAATTGTGCTTTTAGTCTCTATGTCATTTAATTCTGCTCTGATCTTGGTTATTTCCTTCCTTCCACTTGCTCTGGGCTGTCTTTTTTGTTGTTCCTCGAGTTCTTGTAGACGTAGGGTTAGGTGGTTTGTCTGAAGTGTTTCTAATTTTTTTAGATGGGCCTGTATCACTATGAACTTCCCTCTCAGGACTGCCTTTGCTGTGTTCCGTAAGTTTTGGGTTGTTGTGAGTTCGTTTTCATTTGTTTCCAGAGACCTTTTGATTTCTTCCCTAATATCATTCTTGACCCATTCATTGTTTAATAGCATGTTATTTAATCTCCATGATTTTTAGTGTTTTGGGTTTTTTTTCCTTTGGGTTGGTTTCTAGCTTCAATCCCTTGTGATCTGAGAAAATGCTTGGTATGATTTCAATTTTCTTGATAATTTTGAGGCTTGTTTTGTGTCCTATCGTGCAGTCTATCTTTGAAAATGTTCGATGTACATTTGAAAAGAACGTGTATTTAGCTTCTTTGGGATGGAGGGCTCTGTATATATCAATAAAGTCCATTTCATCTAGGGTATTTTTCAGTGTCACAATATCTTTGTTGATATTTTGTTCGGAAGATCTGTCCATTTTTGAAAGTGGGGTGTTAAAATCCCCCACTATAATTGTGTTGCTGTCCATATCTTTCTTGAAATCCTCTTAAGATTTTGTTTATGTATTTGGGGTGCTCCTACATTGGGTGTATATATATTTACAATATTTATGTCTTCTTGGTGGATTCTTCCCTTGAGTATTATGAAGTGACCTTTGGGTCTCTCTTTATGGACCTTTTTTGGAAGTCTATTTTGTCTGATATGAGTATTGTTATCCTGGCTTTTTTTTCCTGTCCATTTTCTTGGAAGATTTGTTTCCAGCCCTTCACTTTTAGCCCGTGCAGGTCTTTTATCCTGAGGTGGGTCTCTTGGAGGCAGCATATGTGTGGGTCATGTTTTCTTATCCATTCAGTTATTCTATGTCTTTTGATTGGAGCATTTAATCCATTTATGTTTAATGTTATTATTGATAGGTACTTATTCATTGTCTTTTATATATGTGTGTTTCTCTCTCTCTCTCTCTCTCTTTTTCTTCCTTTCCTTAAAGCAGTCCCTTTAGAATCTCTTGCAGAGCTGGTTTGGTGGAGGTGTATTCTTTTAGACTTCTTTTGTCTGAGAAGCTTCTTATTTAGCCTTCTATCTTAATTGAGAACCTTGCTGGGTAAAGTAGCCTTGGTTGCAGACCTCTGGTTCTCATTACTTGGAATATTTCTTGCCATTCTCTTCTGGCTTGGAGGGTTTCCATTAAGAAGTCAGCTGTTAGCTTTATTGGGGCTCCCTTGTATGTTACTTCCTGTTTTTCCCTTGCTGCCTATAATATTCTCTCTTTGTCTTGATATTTTGCCATTTTAAATATGAGGTGTCTGGAGTTCTGCCTCTTTTTGAGTTCCTCTTGATTGGGACTCTCTGTGTTTCCTGGGTTTGTGTGACTTTTTCTGTCATCAAATTAGGGAAGCTTTCCTTCATTACTTTTTCAAATAGGTTTTCTATCCCTCTCTTGCTCTTCTTCTTCTCCTTCCGGTATCCCTTTTATATGGATATTATTACGTTTCATATTGTCTTGCATTTCTCTTAATCCCTCTTCATTCTTTCTGAGCCTCTTTTCTTTTTCTTGCTCTTTCTGGGTGTTATTTTCTACTTTGTCCTCTAGCTCACTAATCCGACCTTCTGCTTCATCAATCCTGCTTTTCATTCCTTCTACTGTGTTCCTCAGTTCAGAAATGGCATTCTTCATTTCCTCTTGGCCCTTGTTGATAGTTTCTATTTCCTTTTTCATGTTAATATAGTTTGCAGTGAGTTCATTGTATTTTCCCTATAGTTTCTGGTAATTCTCTGTCAGCTCATTGAGCTTCGTGATAACCATTGTTTGAACTCAATATGTGATAGCTGAGTTGCCTCTATTTCATTTAGCATTTTTTCTGCAGCTTCCTTCTTTCCCTTCATTTGGGGATTGTTTCTTTGTTTTCTCATTGTTCGTGGGATTCTTCTTGTTAGCCTCTGTTTCTTAAATTGATCTGTTCTGGTTCCCTGTGATTATGGTGTGAACTTCTGTGGTAGAATACCTGTGAGATTCAGTGGTGCAGTCTCCTTCTTGTATCGTGGTGTTCACAACTTCCTCCTACTCTTTTTTGTGATCAGTTGGAGGAGTAAGGCAAAATGGTTTAAGACAGCAAGACAGTATACTATGATATTTACATTAGCAGCCAGTAGAGAAGAGATGGGATATCCTTTGGCTTCTTATAGTGTTAACCATGATCCTCCACCCCACTATCCACGTTTTAGAAAGGATGGAGAGAAGGTAAGACTCTTATTGGGGATGAAAGGATTGTTAGTTGGATCTAGAAAGCTGTGCGGCTGTGGGAGGTCAGATTCTGAGGTAGGGTTGGAATAATGATTAGTAAATAGGAGTAGCATGTAAACGAATAGAGAGAACCCCCACAATAATAGAATTCAGGAAATTGTGACGTGGGCTGAGATCAGGGAGGGGGGCTGAGTAGTATTTACAATTGTGTAAACTAAGTGTTATTTACAGTAATATTAAAGCAACAATCTTGTGACAGAATCTATGAGATCTAGATAACAATAAGGAGTATAGAACCTTGAGAGGTGTACTAATGGAACACAGATGAAGGATAGTAAGTTATCAACACACTGTGACTGAGATAACAGGGGGAACCTATCTAATGACAGTATAGACAGCCAAGCAAACAAGATTATACAGAAAGAAAAAGAATACCAAAATACTTTTAAAATAAAAAATGTCAGAAAAGTGAGAAAAAGATAATACAAATTTGCAGTAACTTGCAAGCTAAAAAAAAAGGTAAAAAAAGCAGAAGATGGAGTGCAGGAGAGATAAATTTGGAGTGGAAGGAATAATGCTTGGATGAATGGAAGAGAAACATAAGGGATTGAGAGATATAAAAATAAGAAGAATTGAAAAATAAAATGTCACTTAAAACACAAGATAAAATCAATCAACCAACAATAGCCAAAACAAAACAAAACACCTCTTGTTGGTTTCTAACTGGCCAGACCAGTTTTACTGGCCTTGCTGGCTTCAGCAGGCTGAGGGGCGTTTGAAATGCTTATCCCTCTTCCCAGTCAAATCTCAGTAAGTCTCTCAGGTACTATCCCTAGGGCCAGCAGGGCACTCTCCCCAGAGCCAATCTGACTTTCCCCTACAGGACCCTAGGTTTTCCTGAGCAAGCTCTCCTGAGCTCAATGTTTCGGTCTCCTGGGCTCCAAGGCCCCACAGGGCTCCTGTGTCTTTTCAGTTTCAGATGCAATATCTGGGGATGGGAAGATGCGCTCTTCCCCCAAATTTCACTGCGGCGGGTGCTATGTTCTCAGGAAGCACTCACAACTTTTCTGGATTCATGGTGCAATCTCTGGGGATTGTAAAGGGGTGTGCCCATCCACCAAATTTTTCAGTTTCGGGCTCTAGGAACGCTCTAAGTGTCACATCCCTTCCGGGTTCACAGCGCAAGAGTCAGGATTCCTGAGGGGCCCTACGCTTCCACAGTTCACCACTGCAGGCTCCAGAAACCTGGGAACGCCACGTCCTTTCCTTTTTTGGGGCTGTGAGGTCTGGGTTTTCCACTGATCCACACTCCCACTGGGCTGGGGGGTGCGGGCGCACTTCTAGGCCGCCCCTGGTCATGCCGGCTGGAGGCACTCACTTCTCCCAGGGCTATGGGTGGGTGCTTGCAGCCCCTGCACAATTGTCTCCCAGTCCAACTCCCCTCTCTCTATGCCTTCAAGCCACAAGGTCTCCCCTGGTGTTGCTCAACCCCTGTAGTCTGGGGAGGGAACAGCGACTCTGCTGTCCCGGGTGCCCTGAGGCAGACCAGGGAGCAACAGGCTTGGGGACTGCAACCCCCCTAGTCCCCTAGCTGATCCCTGGGTCCCTGTTGTCCTGAAGCAGTCTCCTTACTTTCTGGTTTTTCAATGTCTGCTATAATTTTTGATGTCCTGTTTTCAAAAATGTTTCAGTAACCTAGGCCACTTGCTCTGTTCCTCCGCCGATCCGCGAGTTTCCCTTTCCTGCACAGAAGCCGAGAATCATGCTCCCTGGAGCAAAGCCGCCATCTTACTTTATATTTTCCTTATATTTCATATGTTGGGCACAGTGCCCAACATATAGCAGGAGGTGAAGATATATTTTTTGAGTGAAAGAGTGAGTGAGTGAATGTATTTCTTGGTAATGTGAATTTGGAATTTTTCTGCTGACTTGTAGACCTTGATACTAGATATAAGATGAAAACTAAACATTACACATGGTTTAACATGTTTAGAATTTTCCAAGCAGAAAGAACATGTTTAGAATTTTCCAAGCAGAAAGATGAACAGGCTGACAGTGTCCAGAGGGGAGAGGGGAGGGTATTTTAGGGGGAAAGGGGAAGGGTTTGCAGGAACAAGTATAAAGGACACATGAACAAAAACTAGGGGCAGGTGGAAATGGGAGGGAGGTGGAGAGGACTGGGTGTGTGGGCTGGGATGGGAGTAAAAGATAGAAAATTGAACTTGAACAACAATTAAAATAAAAATTTAAGAAGATGAACAAAATATATATTTATTACATATTATTTCCTTTTGCAGTTTTCCTTCACCTAAGTCTTATATCTGCCAGGCTTTTGCCCTCCATTGAGTGTACATATTTGTCTACCTGAATTGTTCTATGTAAGCAATAGATAGAGACTGTGTCTGATCTATTTGTGGCAGACTCCACAGGACATTTCTTATATTGCATTTCCCGGCCTTGACACCTGTGAGTGCTGCATTTCAACCTGTGAAGTAGGTAAAATCGCAAATGTTGAAAAGGTGGGGGAAAGGTGACAGAAAGGAGAAGTACCAGCTCATTGATGCTTGTTATTTTTATTTGTAATACTTTAGGTCCAAGTTTCAAACTGCAATATTTTTACACTCAACACACAGTCATGCACAATCCATATTTCAACTTTCTATTGCTTCAACCACAATTTAAAATAACAATATTGGAAACAAAAAAGTTCTTAAAAAGATAAAATGCTGAGGTCAGAAGGATGGAATCATTCCATCAGCAGGTCTACAAAAGGAATAACTTACTTAAAAACCAACCAAACAAAAAGACCATAAATATCTTTAATCCAGAGTTACAGAAGAATTTCACTATACATTGGTTTACAGATAACATTTTAACAAAAGTAATGCACAGCCAAATGAGATACAATTCTGATAAACATTGAAAATGTAGATCCTCCTCAACTTACTTTGTCTGGATATTATGAGAATAATCTCAGTAGACATCAGTACCCTGTGATCTGGCTCCTTCTTGCTGATGTACTGAGATTTAAAACTCAACCCCCTAATGGTTATAGGATTCTGTGAAAGATCTTATAATCATTAATGAATATAGTATATGTGGTCCATAAAGCACACCACACACAATGAACTTGAATTTTTCACTTAGGGCTGGTTGGCACTCTACTATAGGCAAGGAATTGGGACTGTCTGCTAACTACTGTCCAATTTACCCTCTTTCCAGCAGCATGCTCATATAAATGGCCAATCATCATGGGAATTATAATCAGAAATGCTATCTTTGGTTCCCAACAAGTAGATTTGTCAACATTCCTTAATGCTGATAGCATGTAATTACATTTTTATCTCTCTCTTTGCAACCTGCAAGTATGTAAGTCCACTCTTAGTAGTAGTCCCAATCATGACAATACATGGCTTCTGCCATCTTGTGCCGCTTATGAAGTAAATTCTATAAAGCCTAGCATTGCTTCATTGGAAAGAAGAGGCTCAAGTATAGTTCTGTTCTAGCAAGTGTGACAGTGTATTTTTGTTCTAGTTGAAAATACTGGCTACAGCTTAATAAAAACCAGACTTTACATACAGAGTGCATATAAAATGAAAACTGGGGACACTCAACAGAAAAGTGGACATTAAAACCAAACTAAGACAAAACAAAACAACATGAAGGAATTGGAAGGCTGCCACAAGTTTTTTCAACATTCCCTAGTAGTAATAACCTGATTTACTTGAGTTTTTCATCAACTTTCATAGTGCTATTGTTTAACTGCCACATAAGAGATCCAGGCTTAAACATGTAATATTTGCCATCACTTTAAGCAGGTTGAATTTACAAGGCACCTATAATACCACAGAATGTTAGAACTTTTGGAAAGACCCTAGAGATCATCTAGTCCAATACTCTTATTTTACAGATAAAGAAATAGCCATGACAAGGCTAAGTGACTTGCCAAAGATCACACAGTAACAGAATCCATGTCTCCTTACTCCTAAACAAACACTCCTTCCATTACATCTGACATTCTCTACAATTGCTGTTCCTTTCCTTTTAGGTACTAAATGAGGTGAACATGGTAACTGCCTTACTGTTGGTATTATGGGATAGCAGTTACCTGATGGCAGCTTCCAAAGGAGACTCTGATGGCACTAACCAGTTTCAATAAGTTTATCTTGTAAGTTCAACTATATTACATGGCAGTAAATGTTATTTGTATTATAGTATACTTGTACAAAGAAGTGTGCACATGGAGGTGATATTTCAGTTTCCACATTTTCAGATTCAGTTAGATAATGTTCAATATTAAACAGACATTCCCAATGCATGAGGAGTTGGGTTATATTTATTTAGTTACCAAAGGAGTGTGGGATCAGAAAAAGAGAGAAAAAAATTGAAGTTAACCAACTAAATGATTATATATCATTAACAATTCTCTTATGAAAAAAAATCTTTCTTAGGAAAAATGTTTCAATCATTTCCAAGGCCCCATATTTCCATCCCAATCCACATGCAAATATATGTTCAGAATTGTGTGTTAAGTTCACTCAAAAATCCAAAGCCTATTAGACTGTCAATTTACAAATGCTGAAATGCAGTCCTCTTGCTCAGAGATTAGGAGAAGCTCGCATCACAGGACATGCCTTTACTTAATTGAATATTAACTTCAAGTACCTTAGAAAAGGACCATGGCATTCAACTGGGGATAGCAGGGTTAAGACTTCCATATATTGAGAATGGTCAGTGAAAAGCCTGTGGTTCTCTGTGGTACAAGATCTGCTCTTGGCAGAACTGAGTAACATCTGAGATTACTACCTCATTATAAAATACCTCACCTAAAATTTCTTTGGTGTGTTACAAGGAAATTCCTCTCTTTCGGTAGATAGTCTCCCTTTTCTCTTTAACAATGATAACTACTGCATACAACCTATAATCAAGCTGTACAGTAAGTCCATGGTGGCCATCTCAGACCAAAGCTAACAGGACTGTGACTGAATGCCAACAGGCAAATGCAGTTCTAAATATTTGTCTTAATGTTTTCATAGTTAGCTTTTAGTTGCAAGTCATAAGACTTCTACTGCAATCAATGGGAATTGCCTACTGGTCATTAAAAAAATCCTACCTGAATGATATAATATCCTGTCACACAAGGAAATATTGGGATTTGGAAATTTTGTCCTTCTATTCTCCAAAATTCAACTTGAAACTCTGCTAAAATGATCCAGAAAGGTGATACCTGAAATACCTATTATCAAGGGAGACTAATCAAATGTCACCTCTCCAATAAAGTAACTGAAACAGAAACCTTGAAGGTCATACCAAAGTGGAGAGCAGCCAGTTTTAAAGCAGAAGGAGGTGTTTGGAGTTGTAATGGTGACATCTACATAGCTTTAACTCAGAGATAATAATCCCCTAAGAAAGGAAATGCCACACCGAGTGTGCAGCAACATCAGTGCCCAAGCAAATATAAAACCTATGAAATAATTGTAACAAGCAGATATTTGTGCCCTGCATGCTCTGGGCTCTTGTTTCTGGCATCTTTTCTATTTTTCTATTGTCCCCTTTCTGATGTTTATTATAAAGCAATATTATAACAAAATCAGAATTTTTTTTGCATAATCCCATCACCTTAACTGATTTCAATTCTCTATGTTCCCAATCTTTGTCCATGTGCACACTTATTTTTACATAGTTGTAATTTCTGTTTATGTTATTTAAAAATGATTTACAGAGTCTCTGTGAGAACTTGCAGCCTCATTAGAAATGAATAACCCACTGAGCAATGGAATACAATTATTTACATGATCTTTGAGCTGAGATATATCCTTTATAGACAAACTTCTCAAACTACCAAAACATATATATATAGACAACAGGAAGCAATTTAATATTTATTTTTGTTTTAGCAATGGAATGTGCTTCACAGGGGAGGGATAGATGTGGGAATCAGCTGGTTCAACTCAAATAACGGAGCACAATTCACAAGCCTGAAAGAAATCTGAATAACACGATTAAAGAATAAATACTTGAGCTAAATCTTCATATGTGACTTGGCCATCCAGTAGCCAAAATGGAACATGGATGCACAAGTATTTACAATGACACACAGATGAGATCAGCAAGAATGAAGTCATTACCCAGCAAGCTGACTGATTTGAGAATATTATGTCATCCAAATATCCTCAGAGGATTAGGACAACTCACTGGATCCTTGTTACAACATTAATGTTCTTTTTTTCTTAAATACATAATCTCTTCTGTGCTTCTCACCCTTCCCTGACTTCCCACTGCCCTATCCCTATCTCAGGACATTTTGCAATCAACATTCCACAGTGTGCCCTCATTATCTCAGATCACACTAGCAACTTGAAAGATCTGGATAGACTCACCTGTGTCAAGATGAGCTTTTAAAAAAAAATCCAGGGTAAGGGAATAAACGATTAACCATCTAGAATCCAAGTTGTTCAAGTGTACCAAATGTGAATTCTTCAGCATCATTTTGGCAGGAGAAACAGCTTCTCTCTAATACTTACTAGAAATATACATAACTCTCCAACACAGGGAAGGGTCTTCAGAAACTGTTTTTATTTTAACTTTTACATAGATATAAATTTGTAAGAGTAAAGCCTATTGGAATATATTATAAAATCTTGGTACAGTAGAATGTGACAAAGAAGTACCTGGATCCTCCTGGTTAATATGCTGAATTAAAAGCATAAAAGAGCCGCCATTTCTCTGCTTACAGTGAGCTGAAGGATCAGGGCTCCAGGTCTCCCTCACCACAAAAGACCTTTATGACATAAAAGGGGTGCTAATTGTCAACTAGGAATTTCCAACCAGGTTTGGGGCTCTTTCCATTGGAAGGCCATAGTTATCAATGTTCTGAATTCTATCTGTATCCCAGGTATTATTTCATTGAATTCCCTGGCACTGTGAATGGGAAAAAATTAAAAATACTTAATTTTAAATGAAATAAAAATGACCCCCCTTTCATTAGGACAGCATGGCATTAAAATATTCAGGTTCAGCCATGATTTTGCAAAATATAATGTGGTATGCTTCAAAGTAATATTTTCATTTGATTTTCTTTTCACATTTGTTGTTTTATTCCACTGTGGACATTGCTCAGGGGTTCAAGTCCCTCCCAAATTTTATAGTCAAAGAAAACAATAGGAAAATAGGAAATCCACCAATGGTGTCATTTCCTAAATATAAACATGCATTATATGGTTAGCAGAAACTTTCTAATGAAAGTGCTTCCATTTTAAGGAATAGAAAATGGTTAGATGGATGGATGTACCTTGGCAAAGAAGGAGAGAGGCCTAAGGCACTGATCTCTTTCTCCCTCTTGCTGCATATAGATAGGCTCTATTCATATTCTTGATATACTACTAATCAAGAAGACTTCTACAACAAATTGCTAACTTTTCAAAGGCTTAGAGGAACAACTTTGCAGAATTTATAAAATTTGACAATTCATTGAAAAGAGAAGTATATCCTTTTCTATGCTAACACCCTCCAGATGTTTTTCTACTGTCAAAAGATTCAGGAAGTTCTAATTGTTAATTTTTTAATAAATAGCCACATGGTGAAATGATAGTCAAATTTTCATATCTTCTCTAAGCCACAAAAGGAATTCAGTTGGATTTTTGTTCCTTGGGACATATGACTGCACACCCTAATTATTTTCACTGGAGAACTTCCAGATCTTTATGAGCACGTTTCTCAAATTCAAAAACCCAAAAGACTAAGTATGAACACACTATAACTTGAAACAGAAATTGGTGACATATAGGGAAAATGGGAACAAATTCTTATGGCCAATGGTCATTGGGACATAATTTTCACTGACCTCCCATTTCTTACAGAGTTGAATGCTTACAAAAATATCTCTGTTTTCCAGACCTTTTAAAATTTTTTAAATGTTATAAGTTGTCAAAATAATTTTTTCATAAGCAAATGTTGGTTAATGGGTCTGTTTCTTCCTGATGTGTTTATTTTACAGTGCACATGTTTCACAAGCACAAGGGAGAATTAAACTAGGTATTTTTTTATCTTTGTTTACTTACTGTCCAAGAAGGATTTCAGTACTTACTGTTTATTTTCCTTTTGGCTCTCAGAGAGAGTCCCATCTTTGCTTAAGTATGGTTTCTCCTATGAAGATTTCCTAAGTTTAGTACCTGGGCTCACTCAACAGGAATACAACAGTTTTGACATATCTTTTTTCAGTTATCATGAAGTTGAACAAGCTAATTTATATAAATGTTAAATCAACTACCTCTTAAGCATTATCATGAAAATATGACAGGATTTCACCATTAGAGCTTTATTTAGATATACAGTTTTGATAGCCTTTCCTGAACACACATATTTCTCCTTGCTTTTGGAAAGTATCTTAAAATACACCTTTTCCAATGCAAGTGCAGAAAAACAGGTACACAAACCAAGCCACCACTATAGAATATAGAAGAAGAAGAAAAAATTGCAACTCTAATAGGGCATGGACTTCCACATGTTCACACAGTACTTGCTATTTTTTTTGTTCATTTGTTTTGTTTTTTTTTGTTGTTTTTTTTGTGTGTTTTTTGGCTTTCTTTTTATAAAAAACATTTTGATATTTTCTTCTGAACATCTAATGACAATGCAAGTGAAAAACATCACATTGGGTAAGGAATTTTGAAGGAGGCTCGAATGCAAGAGGGACTACTCTCTAACTTAAAAAACAAACACAACACTATGAAGAGGGAGTGTGCACCTTTGAGAAATCTTTTTCTTCAAAGTGAATGCACAAAATGAGAGGATTCACTACTGGCTCTTTCGCTTCACGGTGGAAGTGTCCACTTTATGGACACTTCGGCATTGCTGCCCTGTTTGGGCTGCGATTCAGGCTTACAAATAAATTACATAATCTGAAGGAGTAGGAAAAAGGCTTATAAGAAGTTTCTAGTCATTTGAAAGTTAAAGAACCCCCACCCCCATTTGACTATCTTTCTTCCATTGTTCCTGAAGCAGAGTTTTATTTTAGTCTTACTCATGAGGGAGATGGTGTAGGGTAAGTCTTTCAGTCCTAGCGGCTGCTGTTCTTAATTGCTTCCTTTGCAGCAATAATCAGAGGAGTCAGGCTGGAGAGAGGTTTGGCTAATTTTAAAAATGGATGCTGCAAAAAAAAGAGGAATTACTTGAATTATTTCCTGCAACAAGTATAATACTTTACATTTTCAAGCAGTCCTTTTTCATTAACATGTATTTTGAGCACCCAATTAAATATTTTATTAAAATAGTGCCAGCTTTTGTCCTTCAGTGTTATGAAACCTTCTGGAAGCTGACTGGCAGAGTTCGAAATTTGAGTTGGGGTCTTGTAAAATCTCAGTGTTTACAACAGTCTAACTTTTTGAATTTTTTAAGACTGATGATTTTATCTAGAGCAGCTCTTATACTTGGAAAAATGTCTTTGACCTTGACTTTGAAACCAATGGCTTCCTAACTGCTAAAGCCAACAGCTATGCCTCTATCATTTCACTTTTGGCTCCTCTGCAGTACTTAATACAAGTGAATATCTCTTCCTTATTTGAAATGGTTTTCTCTTTTGACATTCTACTATCTTGGTTCTCTTCCACAAGCATGTTCACTGACTACTCTCTCCCATCTTCTTCCCTGGTTTCACCTCCTCCCATCTCCCATATACCAGTACTAGTCTCTCATCACCTTCTTTTTCTAAGTTAATTCCTTTGAGAGCTCACTTACTTTCATGGTTTCAACCACTCATCAGCTTTATGGGGATAACTCCCAAATCTATATTGTGTGACCTGGTCTCTTTCCTTAATTTTGGTCCTATTTCTTCAATTGCCTGCTGGATATTTCCTTTTAAATGTCCTTCTGTCACCTTGAATTCAGCATTTAAAAACACATGTTAAACACTCCTACCTGGGGCCTCTTGTGTGATGTAAACCACAGAGGATTTGGAGTAAGAGTACTTAAATTCAGTCCTCTCTACTTATTACAATGGTTAAATCAGTTAAGGTAAATGCCAGTTCCTTGTAGACTACATAGAAGCAAATACATCCTGCCATTGTATTATTCTCTATCACTTTTCTTTTACTGAATGTTACCAGTGGTTTTATATTCTGAAGTCTCTTTTATCTTCCTCTGCCTTATGTTCTACATGAAATCAGCTACCAAGTACTTCCTTCTCAATGTTCCTCAAAATGATCTGTTGCCTTCCCTAGTTCAGGCCTAATCAACTTTAATTCTGAACTATAACAATAATTCCCCCTTGATCTTCCTTGCTTATTTTTTTTTCCTGTTGCTAATTCTTATCACATACTACCAGATTACTCTTTTTTAAACACACAGCTTCCATCATGTGATTCCCTGAGATATCTTCAGTATTTCCCCACTGCCTATATTCCTAATTCTTTAGCCTGGTGTTCAAGGCCCTCAATGGTCTTATCTCTTGCAAATTCCTACTTGAACTCTTCAGCTATACTTTCTATTTTCTGTTCTCTTAAACCTTGCCTACATGACTTTGGTCACAATATAGCGGTGCCATCTGTAATTCCTTCTCCCCTTTTCTTTAACCTATTTTAAATTGATCTGTCTTTCAACACCCAGCAGAACTCCTTCCTGTTTTTAGACATTTTCTGATTGCCTATTGAATAATGGCATTTACTGTTTGAACAGTCACTTGGTTTGAATGAATATCTAAACAAATTTGCATTTTTATGTACCCAAGAGATTATGAACTTCTGGAGAGGAGAAATCATCATGCCTTTAACAGGTTTATATCACACACTGTACTTAAGCCTTGCAAAAAGGAGTTGTTCAATAAATATCAATTAATGGACAGAGAACTGGCTTAGGCCATATAGAAAGTAACACAAATATTCAATACCTGTGTCTTTTCTCAAGCCTTCTAGTGGTATGAATGTCATACATCTCTTTACTTTCTAACCTCTAAACTGGGCATTGATAAACTAAAGTCAGAGAATGAAGTCATATGGACTTAAGGTGATATACAGGTTATTGCTAATATAAATAAAATGAAGAGATGCAACAAACTATTCAATTTAGACTCAATATAGTTTTACATCAGCTATCTCACTGGTTCAGATAAAAGTACTATGAGGGATGGATGAACTAGATAATTGATTGAATTATCTATGTGACCATATAGCTACACCATGAAAACCACTATCTTTTTTTATCCTTGGAACATGTATCAGGATGTATATGTGGGGTGGTGAGAGGAGTGAAAAGATGTGGAAGTGAAGCACTTAAAAGTTCAGGTTTTTCATCTGTAATTTGAGATAGGATTAACTAAAGGATTCATAAAGGGCCATTCCCGATTTGACATTTTAGGGTCCTAGAAGGGCCTGTGAAATGCTCATAAGTAGCAGAAAAGAAAAGGTGTAGCTTCTTTAATTCCTCCAAATAGGTTTATCCCTGGTGTGAATTGGGTTGGGGGATATTTTTTGCCTGGTCTCTGTCAGGAGGGAGTTTAGAAGCAATGGAAATAGTTCTTTATTTTATTTTTTTTCCCTAGAATTGGCCGAGTCTGTGGTTGTGCCTTTTGTTTAACCTGACCGTGTGTTCAAAGTCTCAGAAAGAACAATCAATCACTGTTCTCAAATATTACAGAGCTTGATACATGTCCCAGCAATGAAGCTACATGTGTAATACCACACTTGTGTTGCTTTATCAATATGAATAAAGGTATACCTTGTTTCATGGCCCTTCACCTTATTGCACTTCATGGATGTTGCATTTTTTTCACAAATTGAAGGTAAGATGCACCCCCCACCACCACCAACAAAATGATTATTGTAGTAGTCAGACAGACATGAACAGAGCAAGGACAATGGGCCAGGTACAGATGGTCAGCAGGGCTGGAAGCCCTGGGTGCTCAGCAACAGGCAAAACTGGGAAAACAAAGACCTCCAGGATGACCTTTCCTCCCCTAGCATATTATTTGTCATGTGGTTTAGACACCCTGACCTTTCATTTCTCTGGTCATGCAGTTTGGATGTAATTGTCCTACTTTATTTTCACCTGTAAAAGCTCCTTGGCAGATCCTCGCCTATCCACATCCATCTCAAGACAGTGATTTAAAAAGTCACGGAATACAGCTGACAGTCTTTCAGGATTCTGGAGCTCTGGGGTTCCATTGGTAGCTATCAGATATAATGCCTATAGGAAACAAAATTAGAGAAATCTATTCAGCACATACGTATTAAGATTATGAAGTGGCATAAAAGGTACAAATCCAGTTTCTTCTGCTTTATTCAGTGGGTCTTAAAAATTCCAGTATACAGAATGTCATTGACGTACATTTCAAAGCTTCTATAACCTTTAGTTATTACTCTTGGCAGTAAGTGACAAGACATCAAGATGTCCCACCCCACAAAATTTGGAAATAAGGTTATGTTTGTCCTCTGAAAGTTAAACCAGTAAAAATCCATATACTATAATTAATGTGTGATTAACCACCTAGGAAATTAAACCAAGAATTGCCTGTAAATCTGTGATTCTGAAGAGCTGGGAAACATACACATCAAATCATGTTGATCTGACTATGTATAACCCCTGAAAGGCATGGTTGCAAAGGATATTGTGATTTATTAAGTGTTTATCTCATTTAAAGAATACTTGTGAGTAACCCAGGGATGAGCAGAGTCCATTATAGCATTAGAGAAGTATAAAAACCAGAAGATGGCAGTGCCTGGATGAGCGATAACCTGTAAGGCTCAAAAACTCAAGTACTTTTATACTGTGTCAGATGTACCTCTATAGATTTTAATTACATTTCCCATGAAGGTTTACCTATGAGAAAAGCTCATGTTAGTAGCCCTGGAATCTGGCAATTATGTATCCTACTATAAAATAATAAGTTGCTACTATATCATTGAAATCACTGTTGTACAAGGCTACCAGAGATATCTATCTACTCATGGTGAGCTGAAATAACCAAGGGACCTAGTCTTCAAGGCATAGAGTCGGACCTGAGACCATGATTAATTCACAAATTCCATCGTTCAAAGGCTCTTGATAGCCAAAAAAGATGGCCATTCCTCATGACTCCTCTAAGCAAACAGTTCTAGAGCACTAAGTATGCTTCAGCAATTTTTAGACATTGGAAGATCCAAAGATATTGGGTTGGCCAAAAAGTCCATTTAGTTTCTTTTTCTGTAAAATAAAAGACACATTTTTCATTTTCACCAATAACTTTATTGATTTGGATATTTTAAGTGTGTTGGCCTCTTTCCTATGTGATAGAACATTGATTGTTCTCAATTAATGTCTCGAGTAGATTGCTATCAACTTCAACTGGTCACTCGAGCATGCAACGTCATCCAACGAGAAATATCCAGCATGAAATTTTGCAAATCACTTTTGACACGTTTGATCAGTCACAACACCTTCTCCATACACTGTGCAAATCTTTTTTTTTTTTTTTTTTTTGCGTTTCAGTTGGTTTTTACCTTTCTGGAAATAATAAAGCATAATATGCTGAACATGTTGCATATTTTATCCCATCTTCAATATGAAAATGACTTCACAAACATTCACCAATTGTGATGTTTTTAAAAAATGCACACTGATATGACAGCTGTCACAATACAATCGAACACAATTGTTTTGAATGAAGTTAAAGACAACTAAGTGCTACTAGAGCCATCTTACAAAAAAAAAACAACAACAAAAACAAATGAACTTTTTGGCCAACCCAATATATAGAGAATGTTCTACTTTCAAAGATCACACAATTTAGTGAGGGAGAGAGACATAGCTTCAAGACAGTGAGACAAGACCTAATCAAGGAACATAGCAAGTGCTAAGTAAACACAAGGATGAAGCAATTTACACCAGAGCTAAGAGCTTCACATAAGACATTGGCATTTGAAAAGTATCTTGAAGATTAAGTAGGGATTTTCCTGCAGGTACTGCCACCAGGGTTATGCCTGCCTATGCAACCAACCTCCTAACTATTACACAAACACATTCTCTCCTTAACTTGCTTGGGCTTTGCGGCAAATTATCAACTCCCCTCCCTTTTCCCAAGCATGGCTCCTAATAGTATTATTAAAAGTATTTTTTATTAAAGTCCTTTCCCAAGCCAGTTTTCATCAGATGATAAGAAGATCTCTCCTTTTAAGAAACTTCCACAGATGTACTTTAGATAGGGTTAGGAAGGAGTGTTTAATCTTGTGGCTGCCAACCTATAGCGTGCACTAGAATCACCTAGAGAGCTTGTTAAAACACAGATTCCTGGGCCACCTCATTGTAAATCAGATTCAGTAAATCTGGAGAGGGCCCCAAGAATTTTTGTTCTAACAAGTTCCCTTTTTGATGCAGAAGCTTGTGGTTCCAGGATCACACTTTGAGAACTGGTTTAATACACCCAGCTAATTAAGCAATAGGATACACTGGAAATTCCCACAATCACCTGGGTAGATTTAAAAGATTCCCCATGCCCACTTCTCAACTCAGGCCAATTAAGTAAAAGTCTCAGCGTGGAACCCAGGCACTGGTAATTTTTTTAAGCTCTCCAGAAGATTACAACTTACAGCCAACATTGAGAAACGCTGCCCAAGGACTTGCAGCCCACTTAATAACTCAGAATCTTTGCATCACAAATACAATGAAGATGAGAGCCACAAAATCCCATAGAGGGGGGATTATTTTGCATTGTAATGAGTGAGAATTACAATGCCACATACTTCTCTAGGATGAGATGAAACTTTCTCTTTTTTCCCCAAAAATATTAAAGAAACCCACATGTGAATTCACCCTCCTCCAAACAAATAGCTTCCTTTCCCTCACCCTTCCTATCTAATTTTAAATTCTTTTAAATTCATAATTTCAAATTAATGAACAGCAAATGCAGGTGGTAGCTATTAGCACTTCCATGCCAAAATACAAGCCAGTATCAAATCTAGTCTTGACTAAAAGGAGCTAGTATAGAAAAAGAATGCTTTTAGGAAATCACGAATAGTACTAAAATCAAATGGTGCACAATCATAGCAGATAAATTTAAGTTCAGAGTGCTTTTAATCCTTGGATAATAAGTGCTTGAAGCATTTGTTCTCACAAACCATTTCAGTTCCTTTATTAAAAGAAAACTGGTTACTGCAAATTAAACTCACTGCCTCCTCCCAAAACTCTCTTATTTCGATGGGCCACAATTCTGCCACACTCTCTAGCCTTTGCTTCCTTTCTCTCTGCTCTGTAGCCAAGCCCAGTCTTAAACAAACACATCTCTTTTCCTTCTTTCCACCTTGCCTAGATCTCTTTGCATGTCATACTGTTTCATTTTCTCACTTTTCATTCAGTATTCTTAGCTCAATACATTCTACTCTATATACTATTGTTCCTCACAAGTACAGATACATCTCTACCCAAGTTCTTCTCACCTCTCTTCAGTCCATGCCTAATTACCTCAGGAAATGCATGCCTCTATTTCCATTCCATTTATGAATAAAAAATGACCCTGATAATAGTGAAGCCTGAATGGTCTTAGTGATACAGTGCAGCAAGGGAAAAGAATTGTCATGTAATATGAAGGAGAATCAACAGTAATAAGGATAGTGCTATGAACTGCTGCAGAACTTCAAAGAATACATGTGCCCTCTTCTGAATTTCTATAAAAAGAATGGCTGTAGTTTTTGTTGGGGGATGGGACTGATGGTGGGTGAGAAGGGGTCTTAGTTGGCAGCATAGCACGTGATTCCTGCAGGGTGAATAGTGTCACTAACATAGGTATCAAATGCAAGTCTGCCTTTTACTTAACATAGTATCATAAATATTGTTTGTTGTTTTTAAATTTGCTCAAGAAGTATAATTTTAAGAATTGCATAATAGTTCAGTATAGGGATATACTATAGTTAATATTGTTGGACTGATTTTAAATGCACGTACTAAGAAAAAGGTTGAAAGGAAACACCAATATGGTAACAGTGGTTCCCTCTGGGTGGTAGGATTAATTTTTGAAACATATATTTCAATTTTCCAAATTTTGTACAATGAACATGGCTGCTTCTGTTATTTTTAAAAACTCTTAAAACATCACTTAAAAATGAAGGTAAAAGGCTGTGCTGTCCAATTTAAACAAAATTCCTTATTTTTTTTTTCTCTTTGTGTTCCTAGGATTGAATCTGCTTTTCATCTAGTACTACCCCTTGAAGGAAAGAAAAGCTCAGATGATTTCTTTTTCAACTATCGTTTTTGTTTTAATCAAAACAGTATTACTTTTCAACTAATTTCCATCATAAAAATCCACACTTTCAATTATTATTATAGGCTGCACTGGCTTTTGTGGACTTGTCTGGGAACAAATTCACTATGCATATGCATCTTCTATGGGAACATGCATTCTGAGTTTCAAATAATTAACTTAAAAATGAACTTTTGTAATATATCCTGTGTGTTAGCTATAAAAAGAAAATTGTTGTCAACAGCCACGCTAATGAAAGACAAATACAACTGTATATAATAATCAGGGGAAAAAAAGGATTTTACTAGCAAAGTTGTCTTAGCTGAAGAAAGATTGAGGAAAATATATCTAGGCATGAGTGATCACATTTTGGTTTTATCTGAGTTAGTGGAAACTCAAAGAAAGTGGGATGGTTATTAGAAATTAGACTAGAGATTTCCTTTTTAGTTGGTTGCTTCTTAAGAAACCCACTTGAGTTCAACTTCCTCATCCAGCAACCTGCCTCTCCTTCACTCTTACTGTAACCACTAACTTCTGTTACTACAACCTATAGAAATGTTTTTCATACTCAACAATTTCTCTCCATATCCACTGTCTCTGCTTAAGGCTGAGTTTCCCTCAGACTGTTCCATAGCTTGCTGATTGATTTTCTTTACTCAAGCCTTTCAGTCCATTCTCCTTACCAATCTATCTCATCAGAGACCTCATCATGTTATCCATCTCTCTGCTTTGAAAATTTTTGGTGACTCCCCATGGTCCATAGAAGTGTTTTTAAAGTTACTTTCCCCCAAATTCTCCTTAAAGGCAGCTAAGAGGAAGAAAAGGTGGGAGACGGAGATAAGTACAGAGATTCTAGGACCCTGTGCCCACACATATCTATTTCAATGTGAGAAATATATTTTTTATTTTTTTATTTATGCATCCAAGCAAAGCTTCATCTGAACCAAGGAAGCACTATAGTCATATGAAAACTACT